ATTAACTGGAAGTATTTGAGCTTCATCGTAGCCATGGCTACTTTCAAAAGGGTTCCGGCTCAGGGCATCCACATTATTCATTTTACTTCCCGGCCTATACTGAATAGTGAAGCCATATTCTTGAGTGGCCAACCACCAACTAGATCTTTCTTAGTGAGTGTAGTACGAAGTGCGTTGAAATCTGATACAACTATGAATGGTTTTCCAATAAGATGAACTCTAAATGTTTGAAGGGAATTGATCACTGCTCAAGTTTCCAATTCATAGGAATGGTAATTTTTCTCAGGTTCAGTCGTTGCTCGGCTTAAATATTGGATCGGTCTTAGACTACCATCTTTCTGTCGTTGGAACAAAATTCCTCCAATGTCCCATTTGCTGGCGTCTGTGTGCACTTCAGTTTCTGATTCATGGTCGTATATGGCCAATACTGGATGGGTAGCCAATTTTTCTTTTAATTTTGTGGAGGCATTTTCTTCATCCTCACCCCAAGTGAAAGATATATTTTTCTTCGTAAAATTTGTTAAAGGCTTGGCAATAATAGCAAAGCTTTTGATACATTTTCTAAAGTAACTGGCGAGGCCTAAGAAACGTCGAACTTCATGCACGTCCCGTGGTCGAGAAAATTCAGAAACTGCATTTATTTTGTAAGTCCCTGATCGAACTCCAGTTTTGTCAATTTCAAAACCCAAATATTCGACTTTATCACTTAGGTAATTGAAATTTTTCCAACCTTTTTGCGACATTATTCTTCAGCCGTTATAAATCCGCTGCAAGATGTAGGCCTCTTTCAATACTTTCCAATCGTTTTGGTTGTGTGCTCTCTTTATCCAATTTTTACCAGCTATGGTTCGTATTTCGTCGGTTCACCTTTTAGGAGGTCGACCCACTGAACGTTTTGTTAGGCATGGTCTCCAGCATAGTAGTGTTTTCGCCCATCTCTCTACTGATTGTCTGGCCAAGTGTCCTGCCCATGACCCTTTAGAACTGGATATTTTCTCGACGATGTCAGTCGCCTTCGTTTGTCGACGGATGTCCTCATTCCTAATGTGGTCGCGAAGGCTGATGCCCATCATGGCTCTTTCCATTACTCTCTGAGTAACCCGTAGTCTGTTGGCACTTCGTGCAGTCACCGTCATAGTGTCCAAGCCGTACCTACGTCATTACCGGTGAAACGCATTTATCGAAAACGTCTCTTTTCAGGTTGTTCGGAACTTTGCTCTTGAATATATAGTTCAGTCTACCAAAAGCTGCCCATCCAAGTTTAATCCTTCTCGAAATTTCAGTGGTTTGGTTATCTTTACTGAGTCTTATGGCATGACCCATATATACATACTCTTTGACGTTTTCGATTCTTTGCTGATTGATCGTAATTAGTTCTTCGTTTTCGCTTAGGATTTCAGTCTTAGACAAATTCATTTGGAGGTATAGCCTTGCAGATGCGTAATGGAGTTGTTCGAGCATTATTTGGAGCTCCTCCGATGATTCAGCAAGGATAGCAATATAATCCGCGAAGCGCAAATAAATGGTTGAGCATTTTACCGTCCACTCTAATACCTTTCTCTTTCTAATCCAACGTCTTAAAGACGTCTTCTAGCGCCAGTGTAAAAAGTTTTGGGGAAATAGTATCTCCCTCTCTGACTCCTCTTTGCATTTTGATTTTATTCGTCGTTGTTATTTCATCTAGTTTGACAGTCATCGAAGCTGTTTTGTAGATAAACGATATTATGCCAGAATATCTATGGTCTATTCTGGCATTGTTTAAGGCTTCTGGAATGGCGTGTAGCTCTATAGAGTCGAAAGCCTGCTCATAATCTACGAAAGGTATGTATATAGGAATGTTGTATTCGGTGCTTTTCTCTATGAGTGTGCGGATAGCCTGAAGGTGGTCTACAGTACTGTATCCACCTCTGAACCTTGCCTGCTCTGGGGATTGATAGAAATCAAACTTGTTTGTTAGGCGATTTGTAAGCACTTTTGTGACTAATTTGTAGAAGTGGGATAAAAGACTGATGGGGCGATAATTTTCAAGCTTTGTGTTATCTCCCTTTTTATGAATGAGGGTGATTGTTGCGTTTTGCCATAACTGTGGTATTCTTTGTTCAGCAATGCACCCATTAAAGGTTTCCTTTATTCTCTTCTATAGAGGTGCTCCGCCATACTTAAACATTTCCGTTGTTAATCTATCCTCTCCAGTTGTCTTGTTGGTTTTCATTTGAGACAAGGCCTTCTTTATTTCGTCGATGTCTACTTCGGGAATTTCCTCAGAACCAACGTTAGTGACTGGAGGTCTAGAGGGTTTTTTTGACAAATTAAAATGAATGACTTCTGGTTTAAGAACCGATGAACGTTTTTGACCTCATTTGTTTCAGTCAATTTCTACTTGTTAAAAGGAGAAGGCAAATTATGTCAAAAGTATGAACCCTCGTGAAACAAAGTTTACCCACCAAAGTTAATATATTTTTTTTCTTATGGCTGTGATCATAGCAACGCTTTTTATCTTTCATAATTTCTTTTAATAATTTTTTTTATAAATTTGCACATAATACGGTGTTACTGTTACTACGGAGTGGCCCTATCATTTAAAAATGGGGAATTAGGGGTGAACGCCGACCCTTAAATTCCACGTACACCGTATGCCCCCTTTTTATCTTTCATATATTTTTTTCAATAATAAATTTTATAAATTTTCACATAATACGGTGTTTCTAAAGATCGGCCCTATCATTTGAAAATTGGAAATTAAGGGCGAACGCCGACCCCACGTACACCGTATGCCGATCGTTTTCAGATAAATTTTCATTCATAAATATCGATTGGTATGCTCGATATACCTTATACTTTCATTCCAAAGCTCGTTTCTTTTTTTAACAATAAACAATAATTATCTTCTTCAGCCTTCAGCACAAGTTCCGCGGTAACCCTCATATTTTGCTTGTACGTTGATGAGCATATGCATAATTACCAAAAACGCAGAAGGCATACGTTACATTATCGTGGCACATTTTTGCAGTGGGGCTACAATAGATCGTAGGTATACCTAAGAATTTTCCCATCACTTTAGCAGGTCTTACGTCAGAAAATTTTGTTAACCAATGGTATGAGTTACTTACCTCAGTCATAGTTATTGATAAACTTATTGCTGAAAAACTCTAAATTGAAGCTTTTTAAAACTTACGATTTTTCTGTTCCCCACTAATAATCCTAATGATCTTCATCTAGGGTTGACAAACTATCAAAAAAAAAAACTATCGATAGTGATATCGATAGAATGGCTTATCTATCGATAGTAACCCTGACCAAAGTAACCAAATTTCTAATTAATTACGAAATAAATTTATCAAATGACAACAATAACATCATAACCTTACATAAACATTAACCTCCAACCCCTATCAAGTCCATGAAAGTCACTCGTCACCAATGAACTATAACCAAAAACTGGAATGCGAACACATATTGACGAACGTGAAGCCTAGTGCCGCTGCTGCGGAGGGGATACCTGTTTTTGTCGCACTCATTATGTTAAATGGCGGAAATTGCTTCCAACACGTATTCCAATTGATGAAACCTGTGAAGGTAAATATGACAAAACCTTCCAAAACGTCATATGTCAGCGAGCAACAAAAAAAAACAACATTCCCCTTTGTGGCATCTGTCTTTCATGACTACATTTTTTTGGCAGATATGGCAATGTGTGCGCATTCCAGTTTTTGACTATAGTTCATTGCTCGTCACATTGCTCGCCATTCCTGTTAACCTAAAAATTAAAAATTGGCAGCACAGCATGTCTACCCCCAAAAAATAATTACAGATTTCTCAAAACAGCTACAGATTTCTTTATATTCACTCGCTATTGATTGAGAAACCGGCCCTCAAGAGTTTGGAACACTCGAGCTACTCGCTCCGGTGTTAGTCGACCCCGATTTGAAAGGAAAAAATACGTGGTGCAACATTTTTCGAAAGGAATAAGCGCATAACGCTACGGAGCTATTCCAGAGTTCCTCCTAGGTGTGAAAGGAATACAATTATTGCAACTGGGCTCGCTTAACCTGAAGTTAAAACCAACTCGGAGGTGACTCGGTATTGAGAAACCGGCCATTTGGAACTATCGATAGTGGTACAGGTCTATCGATACTATCGAAAATGAAAAAAATATCGAGAGTATCGATATTCCTATCGATAGTTTGTTATCCCTATCTTCATCCGCTTACCCTTGATAATTTTCTTATTGGACTTGATTGACTTGATTCCTAGAAAAGGTTATGTTTCTTTTCTACCATCCATAGACCACACGTATGGATAATCGGTTGAAAATTTTGGCAAAGATGTGCCCTCATTTATTATACAGCAAATCTTTCAAAAACGATGGTCTTGTTGAGCCTATGTTAACCGTCTACCAACTAGAGCTTATGTGATTAAAATTACAACCAAACTTGAGAGTTATTGATCTTCTGCTCTGAAAAGAGGATCATTTCTGAAATGGTATTTGATAAGACTGTCCATTTTTAAAGCTTCAACCTAGAAGTGGTGCTCGTTTTATGTAGCGCAGTGCCACAGTTGTAACCTCAAGTGGAGTGTTACAGCTTTTAAAGTACCGTTTCCTCCAGTACTACAATGTGAAAGAGGTTCCCCTTTATTCGCGGCTGCTCCTCTAGCAAATCCTTTCAATTATTAAGTATTAGGAGAAAAAACTTTTCTACTATCCAAAGACCACAAATTTCTTTTGACCATCTCACAAGAATTTCGACCCAAAAAAAAACAGTGGAAACGATGAGATACATACGTACTAATATATGCATGCCCAGCAGGTTAGCTGGTCGATAAGAAAAATAATCAACTACAGTTTATTGCCGGTTATTTAAAGTTTATTGACAATAATTATTATAGTTGATAGATATTTACAATTGTCCTATGTTAACGCGGTGTTTTCCAAGACAGCCGAATAATTCAAGAGCAGTATCTTCTTTAGAGTTTTTGTTCACATTACAATCGTCAACAATGCGGTTGATTTTGCCATTGTCGGAAATTCCCACCTCGGCAGCACGTCTTATTCCTTCTAGCAAAACATTTCCTCGGTTGTCTTGAAGACCCAATTTAGTTAACATACAATTGGCATGTAGTCCAAAGTTAGACGGAAGAGTAGGTTTTTGTCCTCGTTTCAGTTGTTCGAAAATATCGTCATCAACATAAGTTTCTGGAGATTGTTGACACTGCTGATGGACTCGGTTCCAACGTTCTTGGACAGGGTCAGCCTTAAAAAGTGAGAAATTTGAATATAAGATTCTATTGCTTAGAAAACAAAACAGATTTTGGAAATGTTTACATTCACTTCCACAAAATTATGAATTTATATCGATCAATGTCAATGATATACAATATTTTCCATTCGCGGTATTTATTCCTAAATTCCAGAAACCTGGATACCTGAAATTGAAATGTTTATACCTAGAGGTCTGGTGCTTCAGAGAAAATTAATAATTTTAGTTTAACTATTTATTTGATTTATATTGGTGGTAATAATTATCAAAATTAATTCGGAAAATATTTAAATTTCAATAGTAGAAAACTCTATTATCATCTATTGAGCCTCTTGTTTTTCCTAAGATCTAAGTTCAAATATAATAATAATATAAATAATTATTCAAGACAATATAAACAAGGGAAATTTACTTACCAAAACTACCGCAAAACAGCAGAGTACAAATACAAAAGATTTCATCGTGCTTGTGTTATGTTAGACTTATTTGATTATGCATTTTGCCTCGATCTGAAGCCACTTTTATATACCTGAAAAGAAATAATAAAAAATGCAAACTGGGATTACCGAGCAATATTCACAAGAATATGCTAATCAAGCAGGAAAAATTGAATACTAAGAAAGTTTGTTTTGTGTTATTTTGCAGATAAATTTATTGTTTTGGTTGTTTTGATCGGTTTATTTTGATGGAATTTCTTATTGTGCATCTCTTCAGCATCATGTGGGTTATCACCTTGCTGTTGATTTTTAGAAGTATAATGCAGTCAGGTTAATAATTTGACCTGTACCATATTTAAATTCCGCGAAATAAATACACAAACTGGGATATTATATTTAACTTTCAATAATAACAAATCATTCCAATTTAGGTATATTATTTTCCATATTGCGGATAAAGTCTCAACTCTGTATCAAAAATTAAATTTTTTATGAATTATATCATTTATATCTTAATCGGTATCTATTATACAGGGTGTCAATAAATACTCTTCAAAACATCTAGGGTATGTGGAACTCGTCAAAAAAATAAGAAAAGTGTCAAATTTGGTTCTGGAAAAAATTATTGAAAAAGAAAATACATACTTCTTCAAGTCTTGTGAAAATGCCAAACAGAAACTTTCTGCTAATAACTATTTCCTATACCTATTTGAAAAAATTATGTTTGTGTTGTTTTTGTAGATGGTGCAACGAGTGGTGGAGTCTATTAAAGACGCATTATTGCCTCGATGGACATAGGTATTGTGAGACACTGCCGATTCCATACTAAATATATCACAACCAGCTTTACGCGACCTGTTAATTGGGTAAAATCCTGACTTGACATATAATCTTCTTGAACGATTTAAGTAAAGGCCCATTGTGGTTCAATCATCAATTGAAGCCCCAAGAAATTCTATCCGTCCAGGATTTTCTCGACTGGCATGTTAACGGCGTGGAACTTCTTACTTATTCTCTTGCAGCTAATGGGTGACGTAAGCTGTCATGTCCTCGTCAGAGGTTTGGATAAGCGCCCTGTTATCCGACAAAAATTTGGAAAACATCTTGGTGTTCTTCCCCACGGCGCGAGTGTGATCGAAATCGTTTTTCAACTCAAAAATTCCTTTTCCAATTTTTTTTTTTCAAATTTGGCAGGTATATTTGTGATAATGAAAGGTGTCATTTAAGTTAAATATGACTTGCTTAATCTGAAAAAAATATCAAAGATTTGAAAAAATAGTGATGTGTAATTTTTTTCTACTTTTACCAAAAAATCCTGTATATTTTTCTATTTTCTGACCACCCTGTACATGCTATTTCAAGTTTTAATAGTTTAATACTATTTTTCCAAGAAGCAGAAACTTTTATAAGGAATAACTTTTTTTCGTAAAATTGATAATAAAAAAGTTTCCCATATGCTGCGAACTTGAGTGGACACACTGTATAACACGCAAGAATGATTCAAGAAAACGTTGAGAATCACTTGTAAGCAGAACCTTCAGAACATACACGCCAGAATCAAGAAAACATCCAGAACTAGATCATCCAACTTCAGGAAATTATGTAGGGTCCCGAGTTGTTGAGGCTCAGGTGTCTAACAGCAACGCGACAGCAACGTCAGCTACATATCCCTGTATTGCGAATTCTCCCGAAGAAAACAATTTCGAAACAACACAGGAACGAATCCAAAGATTGAAGAAGAGAAACACAATCAACTGGAAGTAGATCTGAAGTGCCTAGATTAACTGTTAAAAGTGATTGTATCAATTGAAAGCCATTAACCATTGGGACGATATTACAACAATTTACCACAGGCAGTCAAGATTGGTGGGCATGGCAAAAACATGGTACCTAACTCTTCTTAAACGTAGTTTTCCAAACCATACTAATTAGTCGACTCTTTCGCAAACAAGTTAAATTATCTGAATCGATGACATCGTACTATTTTGCAAAGATGGAACTCTTGAGAAGCTGCCGCGTTGCTGGAAAAGAAGCAGTTTCCTGCCTTATACATGGGACAGATGATCCAGTTACTCAAAATAGTGCCAGAGCTGGACGTTACCAAAACCCAGAAAACCTATACGAAGAATACTTGTTAGCACTAAATATTGATGTTTATCCAAAACAAAAAGAACAAGTGAAATTGCCAACAGGGTCTTCAGATTTAAGAAACCACATAAGAAATAAGCAGAATAAATTTGAATCAAAGTGCAACGGGTGCATATAGCTTCGAAATGTTCAAAACACAGGAAGGACTGTAGAAAATGTAAGTAATTGGGACACGAAGCAAAGAATTGCCCCAAGCAAAACTTTAACAAACCTGGTAAGTCTAATCCTATTTTTAATATGGAAACTGCTCAAAATAATTGTGAGACAAATCTATGTTACTTCATCGATTGCTCTATAAATCAGAATATTTTACGCGGATAATATGTCGATTCCGGTAGTAGTGTCGTTATTTTACTTGCATCTGACGTCAAAGCTTCAGGATTACAACTACATCCAGTACAGAAACGTCTGAGTGGATTTGCAAGGTGTTCTTTAGTAATTGTAAACCATAAAGTTGTCATTGATCTAACTGTTGATCTGGCTAAAGCAAAAGTTGAACTTCTTGTTGTACCCGATCATGTACAAAATGTTTCAATAATTGTTGGGCAGCCTTTTATTAATCACCCAAATATAATCATGGTGACGTAGAGGTCAGGTTATACTTTTTAATTTGCATTCATATTCCTGAAATTTGCATTGATTTGAATGACAAAACACCTGTTACTTATCAACCATATCGTTTAGCCTTCGCTGAGCGGGGAAAAGTTAGAGACATAGTTCGAGAATTACTTGACAATAATATCATCAGGAAATCTTCTTCTCCTTATGCCAGTCCAATTTTATTGGTGCGCAAAAAGAACGGCGAATCGCGTATGTGCGTAGATTATCGTGCTTTGAACGCTGAAACTATTAGGGATAAATATTCTCTGCCGCGCATTGATGATTTACTGGATGGACTCAAAGGTGCTCGATACTTTACTAGTTTAGAACTTGCTTCTGGATATCATCAGGTGCCAGTTGCCTTGAATTCTATCGAAAAGACAACTTTCATTACCCCCGATGGCCATTACGAGTATGTAACCATGCCATTTGGTCTCGTAAATACGCCTGCAGTCTTTCAGAGGACAATTCATAAACTTCTAGGTTCTTTACGCTATACTAGCAGCACTTAATCCAGTGTCTCGGTGCTTTCAGCCAGCACCTGTCCAAGGAAAACCTTTCTGGCAGGGTTCCTAGCGCGCATTGCATCTCCTACCAACATGTTGACCAATTTTTGAATTTGAACTTTGGTGTTTGTTGACATCTTGAGGTGAAGTTCTAAAGATTTTCTTTTAGATATTCTATTCTGTTTTTTCGAAAGTTTTTTGTTAGTCCTGCATCTGAGTCTTGAATTAAGAAGCAATGGCAATATTCCCGGAATTTTCAAAATTGTCCATCTCATAACTCTGGAACTGGGGAACATAGAAAGCTTTTGTTGGTACCAAACTATTTATTTAATTTACGCAAATAAATATTATATTATTGACAAAAAATTAATACGAAAAACTAAATATTGTCCGTCGTTTTTAATCTGACACTTTCCGTATGAGGATCGAGGGGGTGAAGCATATGGCAAAAACAGGTGTGACGTCAAGTGACCATTGGCGTTCTAACGTAGGGTGCCACCAGCTCACATTCCTTTGCAGTATCAGATTAAAATCGACGGACTTTATGTCCAAAGCTATTACCTACACATATTTTTGAATTAAGAAACAAGCGGATGGGTGCCTACCTACAGCTATACTATGCAATAAAATTTTAGGCAATTTTTCTAGCAATAAACTCGTCTTCCTTTCCATGAATTTGCTTCTAAAATTGATTGAAATTATTAAAAATTCATGAGTATTAGAAAAACCGATTATTGATCTAGGTGCAGGTAAAACCGTTTATTGAAATCTCAACCTTGACTTTTCCGGCCAGTAAACATTATATTATTATATAATATATGGAGCACCGAGTACCTGAAATAATTTTAAGGTTATACTCTTCTCAATTAATTGCACTAAAATTCCAAACTTAAGGCAAAGGGTAAAGGAAAAAATTATATTACTTATATAAGGTTACTATTACCTTAACTTTTTTTAGACAAAGAGTGGTCATGTAGCAATTTAATTGTCACTACAATGTCAATTGTTCAATAATGGAAATTCATATAAATAAATAATATATATGTGTAATTTAAAACACCAAAAGGAAATAATTACACACACCATTAACCCATGTTGATGTTAGAAATATACTTATATCTAATCATATAGATATAAATCTCTTCGGTTCATATAAAATATGGGTTCCCATACACAAACAAATCATAGTTCAAATTGATTTCCATCAAACCATAATGATGAAATATCTATTCTTAGTAGTAACAGTTTTTGCCGCCGTTAAGGTAAGTCGTCATGAAAGTTCAATCTATTTTTTTCTATCGATCTGTTCATTAAAAAGCGGTCCAACAAATCAACACCTATTTTCATATATTTTCCTTTTCTACTACTGAATATTCATTACATGGATGAGACGAACTTGATAGCTATTTGGGTGATTCAGATCACCATTCTTCAAAATATAATTGGGTGAATAGAAATCAAAAATATTTCTCATGGTGGTCAGAAATGTGTGGGACAAGAAAAGACAAATGGAAGTGTATTGTACTTGACCGAAAATATTCATATAAAAAAGAAGTCCTAATCTGGTTTTAGCAACTAATCTAGATTCAGTCCTTACGGTGCATTTAGGCGTGACGCCCAAATGATATTCAAAAATCTAATGATTTATCACTATATTCAAAAATGGAATGATTAATGTAAAAGACCGTAGTCTTTAATGAAACAAATGAACCTTTCAAATAATTACCAATATATTCAAAATGAAATTTATAAAATCAATCAACCGACTCGCACAGTGATATCGATATTAGCCTGACTGCTCAAAGATCCTTTGTTCCTATCTTCAGCACATACCGATGACTCCTCCTTACGAACCTTTTTTTTTTTTTTGTTGTTTTGTTTTTCTTACTGCTGACGCATATTTTCGGTTGATCGAAGCCAAGAAGGGAAAATATTCTTTACAGTCGGCCCTTTCTGACATTTCACGTCCTCGGGAAACTGTCTTCTATGGCCTCCCTATAAGAACAAACAAAAAAACAAATTAAACAATTCAATTTACTGTGGAGCTCACTTTAGCCCATTTTTTTAGACTTTCTAAATCAACATTGCCCGAGTCAACATCACAGGTTTTTGATGAATGACCAGACTTTTCTGGGGCATCATCAACCTTTACGAATGCATAATCACTGGTATCTTCTAACGACTCAGACGAGCTGACAACTGTTTTAAACAGCTTCAGAGGACAGATTCCTGTAAACGCTTAACGCTATCTTTTCGCGCCAGGCATATTTTCAATTACATAACGATCGTTCTATAAAATTTTTGTGATCACAAATGGCCCATGATAATTCGGCTCAAGTTTTTACTTTTTCCATCATTCGAGCCCTTGGCCCGAAAAACAACAACTTTTTGACCAACCTGAAATTTTCTCGGTTTAGCATGCCTCGCATGATAGTAAAACTTTTGCATTTGCTGTTCTTAATTGCTCCAAGTTCTGTGGCTCCGATTGGCAGACCTCATCTCATGAACAAGAAATGAATCATTAATTCCTCAAGGTCTGTAACCTAGAAATACTTCATAGTGACTTTTCCCATTTGTTGAGTTAACAGTGGTATTGATGCCTTATTTCACTCTGCCCAACGATCGATCCCAATGTTGTTCATCTTCGGTAGATGAATTTATGGCGGCATCAACAACCCTGTTAACCTTTTCACCTGGCCATTTCCACGTGGTGTTGCGGTGGCACACAAAACCTTTTAAATGCCCAATTGGTCGCAAAATTTTGTGAAATCCTCACTGGTAAAAGCCGTTCCACGATCACAAATTAAACGTCTGGGGACTCCGAATGCCAGGTAGTCTGTACAGTATTGACAAGAAAAATGAGCCAATAAATACCCTCCATATAGATCCTTTGGAACCATAAGTCAAAAGCACCAAAAATAATTGCTATTTCATCGTCGTCGTGGATGCTTTCAAGAAATTCACTTTTTTACAAGCTGTTGTCAATACTGTACAGACTACCTGGCGTTTCACCCGAAGGTTTCTTATTATGTATGTGCATCTTAAGCAGGCTAGTATGTAATTTCTAACATATTTTCGCATACCCGCAAACCAATAGTGGTTTTTCAGTGCCTCTAGTGTCTTCTCTACAGCCAAATGTCCCGCGCCATCATGGTGACACATCACAAGGCGTCGTCTAGAGCTTCTGGGTAATATCATTGTATGTAATACCTATCCATCGCAATCCTTGTTCTGTTTTACGATAAACGCGATTATTTTTTAATGCGAAATTTTTAGAAATTTCTCTATCACTTGAATCTTGCGGTGTAGAAGTTAAGGCATTGTGTATTTGACGACAGTTTTCTTCTTCCAACTGCGCCGCTAAAATCCAGTCTTCCTCATCTATATTAACTGGAAGTATTTGAGCTTCATCGTAGCCATGGCTACTTTCAAAAGGGTTCCGGCTCAGGGCATCCACATTATTCATTTTACTTCCCGGCCTATACTGAATAGTGAAGCCATATTCTTGAGTGGCCAACCACCAACTAGATCTTTCTTAGTGAGTGTAGTACGAAGTGCGTTGAAATCTGATACAACTATGAATGGTTTTCCAATAAGATGAACTCTAATTGTTTGAAGGGAATTGATCACTGCTAAAGTTTCCAATTCATAGGAATGGTAATTTTTCTCAGGTTCAGTCGTTGCTCGGCTTAAATATTGGATCGGTCTTAGACTACCATCTTTCTGTCGTTGGAACAAAATTCCTCCAATGTCCCATTTGCTGGCGTCTGTGTGCATTTCAGTTTCTGATTCATGGTCGTATATGGCCAATACTGGATGGGTAGCCAATTTTTCTTTTAACCTTCCAGCGGGCGCGCTGTCGTAAAATTTACGACAAGCGCACTCTATCGCTTCCCCCACTTTTGATCATTTTGCTTCGAGCTATTCGAGGATTAGTGTCTCACCAAACGATAGACGTATCGGATGTGCTTAGGAGTTTTCGCAATTTGGAGTTATTTGGAAATTTCCGTTGAGCGTAAACTTTACGACACGCGCCCTATGGTGTAAGTATAAACAAAAACCACTTTTTTTATATTTTTTCTCATTTATATCGCTTCTTTTATTACTAAATATGTTTTTTTATTGTTTCAGACGTGTTTCATCATGGCTCGTAGACCGCTTACGCAAAAAGAGCTGGAAGAAATGGCTCAAAATTTATTTGATGAGCCTGAGCAAGATGATGAGACTTACTTTCCCTCGAGTGATAGCGAGTTTTCGGATGAAGAAATCGAGCAACAAGCTGAAGGAAATACTACCGAACAAGAAAATACTTCAGACGAATCTGAAAGAGAAGAGGAAACAATGGAAGAATTTTTCATTGGGAAAAACAAATCTACACAATGGCGAAAGACAACATACCGTGTTTCTAGAAAAACCAAGGGGATAAACGTGGTCAAGGTACCCACTGGTTTGACTCGCAAAGCTCTTGGTATTGAGAATGAACTAGATGCGTTCTTCCAAATCATCGACATGTCGATGATTGACGATGTCATAAGGTACACACATTTGTATATCGATCAGCTGAGAGTTTCCCATCAATATTCTAGAGACCGGGACTGTAGAAACATTGACAGGCAGGAATTTATGGCATACTTGGGTCTGCTATATTTGATTGGTATAAAAAAATCTCACCACGCAAATGTAAAAGAGATTTTTGCCAGTGACGGTACCGGGATTGAAATAGCAAGAGCTGCCATGAGTTACAAGAGATTTCTATTCCTTACCCGGTGCCTCAGATTTGATGACAAGAATACCCGAGTTGAAAGGAGGAAAGTTGACAAACTGGCAGCGATACGTGATTATTTCCAAGCCTTCGTCAACAACTGCAAGTCATCATTCAATTTGGGCGAATATACTACAATCGATGAGATGCTGCATCCTTTCAGAGGTCGTTGTAGCTTCATACAATATATTCCCAGCAAACCAGCAAAATACGGGGTGAAAATGTTTGCGTTATGTGATGCCAAAACTTTTTATACATCCAATCTGGAAATATACTGTGGAAAACAATCCGATGGAGCATTTGCAACTTCTAATACTCCAAATGATATTGTAAAGCGTCTAGTCACTCATATAGAAAACTCAAACCGGAATTTGACCATCGATAATTGGTACACAAGTGTACCACTCGCTGATTATTTGCTCGAGAAAAAAATTACAGTTTTGGGCACAATGAAAAAGAACAAAGCCGAAATCCCAAGGGAATTTTTGCCGGAGAAAAACAGAGCTGTTGGATCCACTCATTTTGGTTTTCAAAAAGAAAAAATGATGCTTTCCTATGTACCTCGGAAAAATAAATCTGTAATATTACTCTCAACATTACATGACGACGACGAAATGGATCCTGATACCAGAAAGCCTCAGGTTATACTGGACTACAACGACACCAAAGGCGGAGTGGATACAGTCGACAAAATGTGTGCCGCTTACTCTGTCTCTAGAATCACCAAGAGATGGCCTTGTGTAGTTTTCTACACTCTAATGAATATTGGGGGCATAAATGCTCAAATTTTATACAAATTTGCCTGTCCAGTAAAGGCTCCAAAGCATCGAAGAATTTTCCTGAAAACTTTGGCATTGACCATGATGAAAGAGCATCTCATCTTCAGATCAAATGTCAAACATTTGCCACAAGATGTAAGTGCTTTTCTCAAAGTAAGTTATGGTCGGAAGATTGAACCGATAGCAGGAGAAGAAAGAAGAAGCCCTCCAAAACGCGGTGTTTGTCGGCTATGTGCACTGGAGAAGAGAAGAACCTCAGCATCAATGAAGTGCTGCCGTTGCCAGTCCTTTACATGCAAGAACCACTCTACAGTTGAGGTAGTTTGCAACAACTGTAAGGATGGAAATATTGATTCTGACTAATTGGTCGATATAATAGTTTGATTTGAAATACTAACATACATAAACACTTTAATGTTGTTCAAAGAAAGTGAATTAAATTCTTCTAAAACTACTTCCATTTTTGTTTTTTAATAACCTTACATCAAGTTCCTAACATTAACATAAACAAAACACTATTTACATGAAGAAATATGCATGTCGTAAAATTTACGACACGCGCCCGCTCAGGGGAAATTACACAGCGCGCCCGCTGGAAGGTTAATTTTGTGGAGGCATTTTCTTCATCCTCACCCCAAGTGAAAGATATATTTTTCTTCGTAAAATTTGTTAAAGGCTTGGCAATAAAAGCAAAGTTTTTGATACATTTTCTAAAGTAACT